GTATTACTTGGTGGTGTATTGTGCTAAAAATTGTGGGTTGTTATTTTCTTAAAGGACTTATAATTGCAAGCGTGGGTCCAAATGTTGTGAAAGCATCTTTAACATGTTGATAAAATGTTTCTGGAGGAGCTGAGAAGGAAGGCACCTTGCATATTGAATTCCCCGGAAAGTGGCAGTTTTAGTTATTTGTACTAACACTTCTCTTTTGACCTGGATGACTAAACTTCTGTCCCTATTGGTGCCACTTAGCTATTTTTAAAATTGTTTTCCTATAAAATTTTGTGTTAGAAATTTAGGGCCATATGATAGGTACTATTTCTATAGATTATATATTCTTGTAGCTAGAACTTTGCCTCTCATCCGTACTTTTTATATTTGTTTTTGTGACTTAACTTCTGATATGAATATTCTTTTCCCTAACCATAAGGCTTTGGCAGCTCAAGTACATCTGGGTTTAACTTCAGCAATCCTGGCATCACGGCATCAGCTGGTTTGACATTTGGGGTGTCCAATCCTGCCTCTGCAGGTTTTGGAACCGGAGGACAACTTCTTCAGTTGAAGAAACCTCCAGCTGGAAACAAAAGAGGAAAAAGATAAACATATGGGTAGAAGTGTTGAGAGAATCCATTGCACCGTCATTTATTCTGAGTCTATTTTTCTAAAATTGATGCAGTAATTTAATTGCATACCAAGATATTTCTAAAAGTTTTGATATTTTTCCCTACTCTGGAATTTTAACTTCGTTCTGATTTGCCCTGTTAACTTCTTTTTTCTTGTGAATTTGAAAGCCAGTTGTATATTTTTCTTTATTTTGATTCTCAGTATATGAAATGTTCTGATTACATCGCTGGTTGGTAACACCTCTTGAACCTTGTGTTAATAGCAATGTTTTTGTTGATACAGTTTACATTATGTGAATATATGCACCTGTGTTTCTTATATAGGTGGTATGAACTCTAGGACCGAATCAGTTGGTTTCTTGATAAAGGTCTTTTAAACTACACTGCAGGGCATCTTGTGAATATGTATATAAATACATACAGAATACACACAATTGTGTGTGCATATAAAATATATATTTACAGACCTACAACTTTTGCCTCAGACTGTTCCCCTTTTCTAAGGGTATTCCATTTTTCACCTTTGCAGCTTCAAATTCTCAGTGCTTGTAGGATGATGAGCTAGAAGTATCAGGTCATTGCAGTTATTTGCTTAAAGACTTAATGAAATGGTTATTGTTGTAAATATTTGACCTACTCAAAGGCCCTAGTCTTTTCCATACTCATTTCCCACCTTAACCTTTAGCAGCTACTCTAGATGAGGGATGCTGTAAAATTTGTTGAACAGATTTTAACAGGTTTTATTATCCTATACGTCCTCATATTGCTATATGAGATGTTTTTTTCATATCTGAGATGAACCTTCAAGAGCATATTTGAACTCCAGACTGGTGTTCTGGGAGCAAAGAGCTATTAAGCCAAATTGATTCTATGCAGGTGAAGGATGCACTATAATTTTAGTGGCAACTTTTCTAGCTATTCCAATACAGAGTTCTTTCCTATAGGGCTATTGATATTGACACCAAATGGAGCGGCTCATCAGCCTCTTAATGTCTTAAGTAAGTGCTTAATTTGGAATAGAGAAACAATATATTTTAAGGGAAAAAAAAGTATTCTTTGTAGCAACTATAAACTATTCCCCTGTTTTAACAGCTCCAGGTAATAATACATAGGCGTGTCAGGTTGCATCTGTGTAATATTTGTCTTTATTAGTACTAGTGACATAGAGTGGGTGAAAAGAGAGCCCTTGGAAAGAGAGTGGCCTTGGCCATGATTTCAGACAGAAACCATTAGGTAGACCTATGTATCTTTCAATTACAGTTTTCAGGCGGGATGTTTTAATGAACATGGAATTTCATTAAAAATAATTTAATTTTTATATAGACGGTTTTGTACATACTGTGCATTAAGCAAATATTTTCAGAAGCATTTCACCAAGGTACCTTTTTTCTAAAATAAATACATAAATATGTGTGTGTATACACACATGCATGCACACACAAACACATACTTGTAGTAGAATGTTAGGTTTGATTATAAAAGTATTGTCAAATCTGTTTTATTTATCTGCATATAGCAATTGAACTGAATGTGGCTTTTTAGAACTGAAATTTTTGCACCTTGATGCATTAAAATAAGGAAAATGCTAAGCTCTGAAGCTGTTTTTATTTTGCACTATTCTCTAATACTGCAATCTCCAGAGCCAGATTTTAAGGAAGGTTAGGGAAATGTGATTTTGTGTTTTGAATTACTGTCAGAATTAAATACACAATTAGAACAAACTTTTTTTTACTGCAAAAATTAAATATTTACATTTTTTGTTTTTTTCTTTATATATTTTACATTTTAATGGGCTGGAAATTTGTAACAGATCAGTTTATGAGAGGAGTTTTAACATGTCATTGTCTCCATTGTCTTCACTTTGTCCAGAGCCTTTCATCAAGTAAACAATAAAATTTATTGTGTCAGTTGCTTTAAATCTTTGTAGGTATTAGTTGTTCCTAACATGTAATTTTCTCATTGTTGCTCTTTTATTCTCTTTGGTCAGTTTTTAGTGTTTTCACAGACTTGTACATCTTGCCTTAAAAATGTACTAATAAAGACTGAATACAGAAAGTAAGTTTGAGTAAAAAATAAAAGTCCCCTTCAACCCCGAGGTCCTAATTCCACTTTCTTCCCCAGAGTATTCACTCCTTAATGGTTTGGTATATATTCTTTCATTTTTATTTATTTATTTTTTATTTTTGGTATATATTCTTTTAGACTCTTTAAAAAAAACAAAACTAAAAAAAACCAAGAACTTTTTTTCAACATGTTATTGTTCTATTTCTCTTTTTTATATCTCTCATTTTCTCATTCTCTTAGATTCTTTTTCTTTTTTAACAAATGGGTTAAAAATTTATGTATTCTGTGACTTTCCCCCCTTTTAATGCTATATCATAAACTTTTTCCTGTCAGTCCTTGCAGATTTATTTTTTATGTACTATTCTGTAGCATGGATGTAGAATAATTTATTCCAACTAATACCTGTTGGTAGGCAGTTAGGTTCTTTCCAGTATCCTATATAATAAAAAACTAATATGCAAATAGACTGAATGACAGAACAACTGGTTACTATGATGTGCACTGACCACTAGGAGCAAACACTCAATGCAGGTGCTGCCCCCTCGTGGTTAGTGCGCCAAAAAGCGGGCCAACAAGTGCAGTGGTGGTGGGAGCCTCCCACCTCCGGGGCAGTTGGACATCCCCGAGGGCTTCTAGACTGCAAGAGGGCGCAGGACAGGCTGAGGGGACATTCCCCTCACCCCATTGCTCAAATTCTGTGCACAATAAAATAGAAAAGGCTGCAGTGAATATCCTTGTACACGGTTCTTGATGCTTATGTTTAAGTGTTTCTTTGGGGTTGATTCCAGAAGAGGAATTGCTGAGAGCACATACCAGTTATATGTCTTAATGTCAGATTGCCTTCCAAAAATGCTGTAAATATATACCCCTGTAGTTTGTATGAACACCCATTTTCCAGCAAACTCTAAACTATATTATTAATCTTAAGTACTTGTGAGGTTGAACTTTTTAATACATAAATACTTTTCACTTGCATGTTAATATCCTTTGTCCATTTAAAAAATATATATATTTTATTGATTTTTTACAGAGAGGAAGGGAGAGAGATAGCTAGAAACGTCGATGAGAGAAACATCGACCAGCTGCCTCTTGCACACCCCCTACTGGGGATGTGCCCGCAACCAAGATACATGCCCTTGACTGGAATTGAACCTGGGACCTTTCAGTCTGCAGACCGACGCTCTACCACTGAGCCAAACCGGTTTCGGCCCTTTGTCCATTTTTATACAAGGTTATTTAGGAAGTTGTTTTTTTTGTGTGTGTGGTTTTTTTAATGATTTGTAGGATATCTGCAGATAATGGATATTTTTTTTGTGAGAAAGGTTGGACTCCTGAAATCATTAAGGTTCAGATCCCTGTTGTACCCTATAAAATCTTGGGGAAGTTACTTAACTTTTCTAGACCTCAGCTTCATCATCTGCAAAAGGGCTAATAGAGATGGATGGTTGTATTAATAACTAGAGGCCTGGTGCACGAATTTGTGCACGGGTGGGGTCCAGTCGACCTGCCCTGATTGGGGCCCGGTAAGGAGTGGATATACGAGGCCAATTGGTGGGGGCAGGGTTGGCTGGAGGGAGGGGCTGCGGGTGGTTGGCCCTGCCCCACCCCCCTGGTTAAACTCCTGGTCTAGGGGACAATTTGCATATTACCCTTTTATTATATAGGATAGGATATCATCTATTTGAAGCATTTGCATAGCATAAGCTTTAGACACTTTGTAAGTGGTTACTATTCCTGCACCAATACTCCACAGCTTTAATTATTGAGGCTGATGCTTTATTTTGGTACCTGATAAGAAAGGCCACCATATCTTAATTATTTTGGTATGTGTGTACACGGTAGGATAGGGTGCATGTCTATTTTAGGACACTTACTCTTTTAAAATAACCTGTTTATCAAGTTTTTTTTCTTAAGATTCTATTGGAATTTTGACTGGATTTACATAAATAAAATGTTATACTCTGGGGAGAACTGCAGCATGCTATATGCATTATTGGATCTTATTTCAGCAAAGTTTTACAAAATTTATTAGATTCTTGGTTAATTGTTTTTCCTATTAGCATCTTATTTAATTTCAATGTGGTTGGTACAAGGTTGTTTGCATTATTATGAATGAAGATTAACTTACTTTGTGATAATATAGTAAGGTCATGTTAATGTCCTACTGGTTTCAAACAGTAATTTTTGCAACAAGGGAAATTGAGTAGTGCCTTAAAAGTGTAGTAGTGGGGTGTTTGTGTGTGTGTGTGTGTGTGTTTTGTGTGTGTGTGTGTGTGTGTGTGTGTGTGTGTGTGTGCGTGTGTGTGTGTGTGTGTGTGTGTGTTAGGAAGTGGGCCTCTGTGATCCATCTCCAGCATGGTCGGCTTTTGATGAAAACGGCTGCTGAATTTCCCCAGGGCAAACAGAATGTAGGGAGGAGGGAAGGGATCTAAGAGGAAAGAACTGTGGATGTGGGCCAGCATCGTGGTGGGAACACCCGAGGCACCTGCCCCAACTAGCCGGAGAGGTGGAGGCAACTAGAAAAGTTTTTTTTTAATATCCCAATTTTTTTTTTTTTTTTGAATGGCCAAAGGGTAATAAGACCTCGGTAACGTATGAGGAAACAGGTGACCCCATAGTACTCAGCCAATGAGGAACTGGAGGAGGGAGTGAATAAATGGGCTCTGATTGCTGCCCCAGGTTTGCCTGTACATTTGGATGGGCACTCGTTTTTTTTTGTTTGTTTGTTTTTGTTTGTTTTTATACATTCTATTAGTTTTTTACAGAGTAAAAGAGAGGGATAGAGAGTTAGAAACATCGATGAGAGAGAATCATTGATCAGCTGCCTCATGCACACCTCCTACTGGGGATGTGTCCGCAACCAAGGTACAGCCCTTGACTGGAACCGAAATCGGTACCTTTCAGTCCGCAGGCTGACGCTCTATCCACTGAGCCAAACCGGTTTCGGCGGCACTCGCTCTTGAGAGTGTATTAAAAGTCTCGTTTTTGCTATAGTTCTTTCTCCGAGTCCATTATTTGAATTTGGATAGATGAGCATTTCTCACATGTAGGAAATATTTGGATTTGAATGGTGTATCACAAGATCTGCTTTAGCATCCCTTCCCCCACACCTTGCTTCAGTCTCACTCTGAATAGCCTGGCTGCACTGAACTTTTTGGAGCACACATCACAAGGTTATTAATAAGGGGACACAACTCTGGGCCTCACTATTATGGGCCAGTGTCGTGCAAAATCTAAGTTGGAGTGTCTAATTTAAATCTAATTTACAAAGTTATCTCTGCCTATCAATGTATTTCCCATTTATTGAGTGTATAGTCTGTTCTGGGCACCATGCTCAGAACTTTATAAGTATATAATGGAATATAGATTGAGGCAAGATAAAGTAGAAAGAGCCATGGGACTCTAGGGAGAATAAGACCTAGGATGTAAAGTAAAGAAGCAAAGACCAGACTGATGTAGCCTTTGACTTTTTCCCACTGAAGAGATTCATAGAGAAAAGTTAGTCATCCCTGCATGGAGGGTGGTCTGCCCACTTTGGAAAGGGGAAGGGGAGCAATTCTAGCAATTTGAATCTTAGGAACTGAGAAGTTTAATGAGAAAGCCTTTTCAGCCTGACTGTTAAAACACACATACTCAGACTAAATGAGACTAGATGTACAGACATGAACCTCAACTGGCCTTGGCAAACCATGGAAACAGAAGCAAACACTTAACAGTGCTATCAGACAGCAACAGAAGAAAGGAGAGAGATTCCTGGGGAAAATGGTCATGGCCCAGAATGTTCTTTGCCTTTCCTACTCAATCTAATGTACTTCTTTTCTACCCAACCTATCAATAATTAAAAAGGAAAAGACCTATCAGCCTCACAAAAGTTACAATGCTGAAAAGTGAACTATTTCTTGTTCAGTTTCCTTTCCTTGTGGTACCTCTATTATGTGGTGGTGGTTTCATTTTGTGTTGTCTCGAAGTTCTCTCTTCCTGCTTTTTAATTTCTTTTTCTTTTCTTTTCTTTTTTTTTTTTAGAAGCTACTCTGCTTGGGTATTTTTTCCTACCTTGTCTTCTAGCTCATAGATATGGTCCTCTGCTTCTAGTCTACTGTTGATGCGTTCTATTGAGTTCTTTATAGCAGCAATGTCGTTTTCCATTTCTTCTTGGTTCATTTCCTCTTGGTTCTTACACATATTGTTGAATTGTATTCCATTCTTTCAGCCACCTTAGGACCATTTCTCTGAATTCTTTCTCTGACAGATTTCTTACCTCCATTTCATTTACTTCCTTTTCTGGTGATGCCTCCTTTCATATGTTGGCTGTTTTTTTTGTCTACCCATGATCTCTCTTCTCTGGGTGTCTGGTTATGTAGTTCTCTCCCTCCTGCGTTGATTTAAAGGCACAAAATATAACACATCAAGGCAGAACACACAAGGGACTGAACACAAATGTATTTGTGATACCCCAAATGTGACCATCAGAGAAAAGGGAATTATGGGATATTGAAAGAAGAGAAAGAAAAAAAAAAGGAGCAAAAATGAAATTGTGAAAAGGGAAAAAAGGTAAGAGAAGAGAAAGAGAATAAAAAAAGGCGGGGGGGGGGGAGGGAGAGCTATTTATATGGGGAGAAAACTCCCATTGAATAGCCACTAATTCCAACAAATGCCAGCAGCAAATACCTAGAGATGAATGCAAACAACAAACAACTAATATCAAGTGAGGTGACGGAAAACAGAAGCAAAAAACAAAATACACAAAAAGAAAACAATCTCACAAGTATAAAGCCAAAATAATCAACAACCAAGCAAACAACATCAAAAGGACAGAATGAAAAAAATTTGGATAGTGAAGAAAGAGGAGAGAGAGGTCTGTATGGACTTGGAGCATGAAATTTTAACTGTGAGAAGAAGGAATATTGAATATCTGAAGCAGGAATAGGGTAAGATAAATAGGACAACGAAATGAGAAAAGTGAAGAGTGTTGGCATAAAGGTAAAGATGAGGTAGAGTAAAATGCTAAAGGAAAGATGAAAATAGAATGTAGAACACTAATCTGAAAATAAATTACACTTAAAAGGTAAAATAGTAGTAATAATACTGATTAAAAATAAAAAATGTAATAAAAAGGTAAAATCAAGTGAGGGGAAAAAATTAGTTTCTTAAGTAAAAGATGGGGGGCTGGGGAAATGTGCAGTAGTAAAGGTCATTCACTTCTGTTCTGTTTGGCCTGTTTCCTAGTCAGGACAGTACTGAAGATCTCTGCGTTCCTCTGCTCCTCAGTGTTGTAGGCCACAGGCTTGATTTTCAAACCAGCGGTATTTCTTTGATTCTTGTACTCCTTTGTGTTTACACAAGAGTCGATTTGTGACTCAACCCCTGGGCAGTGTTTCTGGATTGACCTCGGGTCTAAACACTCTCTAGCTAGTGTTTAGATTTTATTTTCCCTGTGGCACTTAATACCAGTTTGGGGGAATGGGCAGCCCCAGAGCTGGTTCTCTGATCCTTAGTCCCCACTCTGATCCCCAGGTTCCAGAAAAACAACTTTCCCCTGCAGTCTCTTATGTATTGGGCTTAGCAATCAAAACCACTAATTTAAAGAGGATAAAAAATAAGAGAGAAAAAAGAGCCAAAGTAAATGTGTGAACTCGTGTGGTGCAAGTCTGTGCAGTCTTTTTCCCCCTTGGGTCTAAGCAGCCAGCACACTCTTTAAAATTATTAGGCTGCCATTTTGTTTCCAGTTCAGCTATAGGTTGCTTTTTAGAGTTCCTTTCTGTTAGCAGCTCTGTGGATCCACATTCATGGATCACGCCAGCCCCAATGGCCTCGGACTTTTCTGGGCAGGTACTTCCCCATATCCTCCTGCTCCCACAGTGCATGTTTCTCCTGCCGGGGCCACAGACCCCACCTTATCCCAGGCGAAATCCGACCTTTCCTGAGGAGGCACAGAGCTCTTGAACCCGCATGCTCACGCCACGTGGGGACCCGTGCTCCCAGGTTTGCAGCTGTTTGCTGGGTGCTGCTGTAAATTCCCGGGATTTTCAGGCTTCCCAGCAGCAGTGGAGGCTGCCCAGTCAGGGGAACCCCATCTGGCAAACTTCCCACAGTCCTTTGGAGTATAGCTGTCCCTCAAATCACCAACAAACACTCCCCGTTTGACAACACACCCTCCCTTCGTTCTCTCACTTATGCACTATCTTGCAGTCTGCCTTCCCATCAGGAGCCATCTTCCTGCTGCTTCATTAGGATTCTTTATTCAAAGATACCAACTAACATGAACAAGTTATATATATACATATGTATATTATATGCCACTTTGAAAACTAAAATAAACTCTCCTAACTGGACCTTCTAAACTGAGTCTTTGTTAGAAGTAATGATTTTTATCTTTTAAAATAACCTATTGAATTTCAACAATAAAGATTTAATAATCTTATATAATAAAAGCCCAGCGACCATAACGGCAGAACCACAGCTCAACCAGCCACTATGAAGCGCACTGACCACCTCTTGGTCCCTTTCCCCGGCCAGCAGGCTCCCGATGCCCGAAGGCTTGGGGGTTTGTGGCAGGTAATGTGAGGGGGGCACCAGACCAAGGCCCCAGCCCGCTAGTTGCCCCACACTCACAGGGCAACCTGTGTTAGTGGTGCAGCCGGCAAGCAGGCAGGAACAGCTGACCTCTGGGTCCCTCTCCCTGGCCGGAAGGCTCCCGTAGCCCAGTGGCAAACAGGGAACCCGGGTGCGTGGTAGTGGGGGAGCAGGTCTGGAGAGCAGGTGGAATGGCCAACCTTTTGGTTCCTCCCCTGTAGTCAGGCTCTGATTGCCCAATGGCTAATGAGGAACCTGGGTAGATGGGCGGCAGGGGATGCGGGTGGTGCCAGGCCAAGGCCCCTGTCCCACTGGTCCAGGGGTGGGGTCAGCGAACAGGCTGAAACCGCTGACCTCTCGGTCCCTCCCCCTGGCCATCAGGCTCCCATCACCCAATGGCAAACGGAACCTAGGTGGGTGGCAGTGGGGGACGGGGTGGCTGCTGGCAGCTGGGGAAGATGGCCCTGATCACAGGCTAGGCCTAGGGAGTGTACCCATGCACGATTTCATGCACCGGGCCTCTCGTAAATAAATAAATACCTATTGAGAAGTTTCTAAAATATTGATACCATTGTAATAACCTGGTTATTATTTATTAGGAAAGGAATGGAAGGGTATAATTAAAACCAAATAGTATAGGCATGCCCTTTTCACAGCTTTGCCTAAAAGCTGCATTTAACACTTGCCAAGTCTGTTCCTGCCTATTGATGGGAAAGAACCTAGACCCATGGTTGGCAAACTGTGGCTCATGAGCCACATGCAGCTCTTTGGCCCAGTGAGTGTGACTCTTCCACAAAATACCATGGCCTGGGAGAATCTATTTTGAATAAGTGGCTTTAGAAGTTTAAGTTTTAAAAAAATTGCTCTCAAAAGAAATTTCAATCATTGTCCTGTTCATATTTGCTCTCTGTTGACTAATGAGTTTGCCGACCACTGGCCTAGACAAAGGCAGTTTAGACACCTACTCAGTAAGGTCTGAGTGACTTGGGAGGCTAATTGCCAGTCAGTCACACCTGGAAACAGGTAATTGGCCAGGATGGGCATGACAACTTGAGAAACTTAAATAAAAAGTTTCTGCACAGCAAAAGAAACCTTCAACAAAACATTAAGAAAGCCCACTGCATGGAAAAACATATTTGTAAATGTTATCTGTGATAAGGGTTTAATCTCCAAAATTTATAGGGGACTCATACAACTTAACAAAAGGAAGATAAACAATCCAATAATAATAAAAAAAAAAATGGGCAGCCAAAACCGGTTTGGCTCAGCGGTAGAGCGTCGGTCTGCAGACTGAAAGGTCCCAGGTTTGATTCCAGTCAAGGGCATGTACATTGGTTGCGGGCACATCCCCGGTAGGGGGTGTGCAAGAGGCATCTGGTCGATGTTTCTCTCTCTTCGACGTTTCTAGCTCTCTATCTCTCTCCCTTCCTCTCTGTAAAAAATCAATAAAATATATTTTTTTAAAAAATGGGCAAAGAGCCTAGACACTTTTTGAAAGTGGACATGCAGAAGGCTAAGAGACATATGAAAACATGTTCAAAGTCACTAATCACCCAAGTGATACAAATCAAAATGACAATGAAGTACCATTTCACACCTGTTAGATGGCTATCATCAACAAATCAATAAAGGACAAGTGCTGGCGAGGATGTGGAGGAAAAGGAACCCTCCTGCTCTGCTGCTGGGAATGTAGACTGGTGCAGCCACTGTGGAAAATAGTATGGATTTTCCTCAAAAAGTTAAAAATGAAATTTCCATTTGACCTAGTAATCCCACTTCTAGGAATATATCCCAAGAAGACAGAAACACCAGTCAGAAAGGATATATGCACCCCTATGTTTATAGTAGCACAATTTACAAGATTTGGAAACAACCTAAGTGCCCATCAGCAGATGAGTGGATTTAAAATCTATGGTATGTCTATAAATGGAATACTATGCTGCTATAAAAAAGAAGGAACTCTTACATTTGCAAAAGCATGGATGAAACTGGGGAGCATTATGATAAGTGAAATAAGCCAGTTAGAGAAATATAAATATCACATGATCTCACTCATATGTGTGTAATATAATGAAAAACATAAACTGGTGAACAAAAATAGAACCAGAGACATACTGTGTTTCCCCGAAAATAAGACCTACTTACAGGTTTCCTCCTGAGTGAAATATAAGACATCCCCCGAAAATAAGGCCCCCCAAGGCTAAACATGAGAGATTTGGTCCACTGATTCTGAAAGAAATGGAGTCACAAGAAATTCACCAGGAAATCAGGAATTGGATTGTTATAATGATGTTCCAGAAGATGATGACATGATTGTCATTGAATAAATGAGTAAATTCTTAATACTGTAGGATTCACAGTTTGTCTGGTTTGTGTTGACAACTACCGTACTACCATACCGTATACAGGTAATAAATTTCCTTTATTTTCATTTAACAATAAATGTGAACCATATTCTTCATGGAAAATAAGACATCCCCTGAAAATAAGACCTAGCGCATCTTTGGGAGCAAAAATTAATATAAGACACTGTCTTATTTTTGGGGAAACAGGGTAGAAGTACTGAACAGACCAAGCAGGTCAAACTCACGGCCTGTTGGCCACATGTGTCCCGCAATGAATATTTTTGCAGCTCAATCAATATAATGGTATGTAAGAAAAGTTTTTTAAAAAAATATATATTTTATTGATTTTGTACAGAGAGGAAGGGAGAGAGATAGAGAGTTAGAAACATTGATGAGAGAGAGTCATCGATCAGCTGCCTCTTGCACACCCCCTACTGGGAATGTGCCCGCAACAAGGTACATGCCCTTGACCAGAATCGAACCCGGGACCCTTCAGTTCCCAAGCTGATGCTCATCCATTGAGCCAAACTGGTCCCGGCTAGTACATAAGAAAAGTTTTAATAAAAATTTTGTAACTTACATTTTTACAATATCCTATTATACATAATGTACACACAAAAAAAGAGAAACAGGCAAATTGACAGTCCCTCCGCTACACCCACCAGCCAATCAGGAGCATGTATGCAAATTAACAAAGATAGCAGCGGCCATGGAGCTGGGGTGAGCAGTAGGCTTGGGTTGCCGCTGGCCTCAGCGTAAGCCAAGCTTCCAGTTTTCCCTGGCCTCTGCTAAAGGAGGGGCTGGAAAATAAAAAGGGGCTGGGAACCTGAGTTGCCAGGGGCGTGGCCAGCCTGAAAATGGCCCTCAGCCCCTCACCGTGGCTGGCCATGCCCCCTATGGGTACCCTCACCCCATGGGGCTGTCTTGCAAATCACCAAAGGCCCCTCACTCAGGCTGCCCCCCACCCCAAGGGAATCCCCACTCTGATCCAGGACACCTTTCAGGCAAACCAGCTGGCTCCCACCCATGCACCAGACCTCTCTCTATATCTATACTAATAAAAGGGAAATATGCTAATTAGACTGGCAGACCTTTCAGGAGACCTTCTGGATGTCCTTTTGGACAAAGTCATGGTGGAATGGCCAAGGTAGAGGTGGTTAGAGGCCAAGAGGGGAGGGCAGTTGTGGGTGATCAAGCCAGGATGGGACGGCAGTTGTCAGTCAGACAATGTGTGGGGGGTCAGTGAGGGGGACTCCAATAGGGGTGATCAGGCCAGTGGGGGGTGGGAGGGTGGAGGCAGTTGGGAGTGTGCAGACCAGCAAGAAGGCCAGTTGGGGTGAGCAGGCCATCAGAGGGGGTCAGTTGGGGGTGGTCAAGACAATGTGTGGGGGGGCCGTTTGTAGTGAGCAGGCCAGCACAGGGGGCATTGGGGGTGAGTAGGCCAGTGAGGAAGTAAAGTGGGGGGCTGTCACAAGATCAGGCTTAATTAGGCTGAGGGCTGTGCCTTCTAAGCTGGGACTTGTTTGTGGTTTTGCCAGCAGGTCAGTCTGAGGCTTAACCCTATAACTGCTCCCTACAGGTTTATTTGCATTGTGCTTATTAATTTGTGCAGTTATTCAGTGTTTGGTAAGTGAATGTTCAAGAAAAAATATTAATTTTTATTAAAATGTTCTATTATTTTGCTTGACTGGTGTTGTTCAGTGGTTGAGCATCGACTTAAGAACCAGGAGGTCATAGTTCGATTCCTGGTCAGGACACAAGCCTGGGTTGCAGCTTGATCCCTAGTGTGGGGTGTGCAGGAGGCAGCCAATCAATGATTCTCTCTCTCATTATGTTTCTATCTCCTTCTCTCTCTCTCTTCCTCTCTCAAATCAATAAAAACATATTTTTTAAAAAGTTCTTTTATGTTAACAATTACTCATTTATTTCAGCCCTTTGTATTCAGCATGTCTCTATTGAAATAAACCTACATTTCTATGAAAATTGAAGCTTTGGTTTTTTTTTTATTTTTTATTTTATTTATTTATTTATTTATTTTTGTGGCCCACATAAACTTAAACCTTGTTTATTTGGCCTGGGTTCACCTTAGAGTTTGACATGCTTGGAATTGACTGTCCAACCTATGAGGGAAGGTGGTGGGGTGAGGGGGTAAGAGATCAACCAAAGGACTTGTATGCATTCATATGAGCAAAACCAATGGACACAGACAGTAAGGGGTGAGGGCATGTGCTGGGGGGAGAGGAGAGGTGGGAGCAGCTGGGGAGAGGTCAGTGGGGGAAATGAGACTTATGTAATACTTTAAACAATAAAGAATTTAAATTAAAAACAAAACGAAACAAAAACAAACAAACAAAAAACTTCCAAACAAAGGAAGTTGGGTCCTTCTTTCTCTCTCTCATGTGCCAGTCCCCTGGGGACTCCTGCCACGGGGGGCTGCTCTCCCTTGTGCCCGCATGAAGCAAGGACAGATGGACTTTAATGTGGCCTGAATGCAAACCACACCAGGCTGCACCAGGAAACAAACTCTGGACACTGGTCCTGCTTCTGAATGCCGAACTCCCAGCAGCCCCTTTTCCAGGATTGGCTTAAGGGGCAGAGTACTTTGGAACCCGAGAAATGTTACTTTAATTAAAGCCTGCTTCCACATCCCATCCTCCCATGTGAATCTCAAAAAATTCATTTTCTGAAAATATCATAAGAGCCTCATTCCCACTTGTATGTGGGAAGTTTGGCTCATTAGTTTCTCCAGCTTCACTACCACTTTCAGATTCCTGATACAGGTTGTGCCTGTGTGATGTGTTGTACAGATATAATTAAAATCACATTTACATATAAATAAAATTAAAAATATGTCATTGAAAGTCACCCCTATTTTTAAGGACATATAAATATTTAAAGGTATATTTTATATATTTTTGTCTGTTGATGTTTGCCAGCCAATTTCTTAATTTTGTCCATAATTTATTACTCTTGAAAATAGCAGATTTTTTTTCTGAATTCTTTTTAAAAAATATAATATATATTATTGATTTTTTACAGAGAGAAAGGGAGAAAGATAGAGTTAGAAACACCAATGAGAGAAAAACATTGATTAGCTGTGCCTGCAACCAAGGTACATGTCCTTGACTGGAATTGAACCTGGGACCTTTCACTCCACAGGCCAACGCTCCATCCACTGAGCCAAACCGGTTTCAACTTCTTAATTCTTATTTTTGTTAAAAATAAGAGCTTAAAGAGTGGAATGTTTTTATAAGTTTTGTTACGAAAGCAGCAGTCTTCCTATTTTCTCCATTTTAAAGTGACAGTTGTCACCTGTTTATGCTTTGGACAATTCTGTTCTCAGTTCCACTTTCACCCCTACTTGCAGAAATACAAATAATTTTCTTCTCAGTTTTTTCCCACTATACATTTAAATTTTGCTTTCTTTTTTTAAAAAAATAATATTTTTATTGATTTCGAAGAGGAAGGGAGAGGGAGAGAGACAGAAACATCAACAATGAGAGAGAATCATTGATTGGCTACCACCTGCATGCCCCCTATTGGGGATTGAGCCCACAACCCAGGCATGTGCCCTTGACAGGAATTGAACCTGTAATACTTCAGTCTGTAGGCCAGCGCTCTATCCACTGAGCAAAACTGGGTAGGGTAAAATTTTGCTTTCTTGATGGGTCAAGTCAGCTATTTCTTTATTCTAATTTCCTTTTTTTTTTTTTTTGATATATTTTATTGATTTTGTACAGAGAGGAAGGGAGAGAGATAGAAACATCGATGAGAGAGACAGTCATCGATCAGCTGCCTCTTGCACACCCCCTACTGGGGATATGCCTGGAGCCAAGGTACATGCCCTTGACAGGAATCAAACCCGGGACCTTTCAGTCCCCAAGCCGACGCTCTATCCATTGAGCCAAACCGGTCTCGGCTCTTTATTTTAATTTCTTTCTTTTTTTTTTTTCTGAACAGGTTTTATTATACAGATGGGGTGGGGCTCAGTCCTTTTTGGCTGCTGCCTTCCTCATGGCTGCAAGGACATTGCTCAGCTCCTCTCTCTTCCTCTTGGCGTGAATGTGTGTCCCCACCTTTTTCTTATAAATTTCAGGGCCCTCTTGTCCTTAGAGACCTTGAGCAGCTCCATGGCACGACGCTCGTAGGGGGCAAAGCCACACACCTCTCGGATCATGTCCCGAACGAACTTGGTGTGCTTGGTGAGGCGCCCGCGGCGGCGGCTGTGTCTCGGCTTGCTCACGTTCTTGGTCACCTTGTGGCCCTTGTTGAGGCCCACGGCCATGGGGTAGCGCAGAACCATGGCGGAGACCCTGGGGCACGGATGGCAGTGGATCCCACCAGCGCCGAGATGAACTTCTTTATTCTAATTTCTAAAATTTCATAAGTATTACCTCTTTTCCTATCCTCATTGTCATTGTGGTTTTAGGCCATCTTTAAATCTTTTTATGGCAATTAAAAAAAAATTCTTTTATTTTTTTCTCTTTCAGAAGTTTTAATTCGGCCTTTAAAGATTATGCCTGGTCATTTTTTAATAATCTCTTATTCCTTACTTATACTTCTCTCTTTTTAAAACATTATTTAACATATTTTATATTTGTCATTGATAAATCCAACACCTAAAGTCAAGAGGGGCTGATTGTGTTAGTTGATTTTTCTGTTGACTTTTGCTCAATGTGACTTGTCTTTCTTCTTGTGTGTTTTGTGATTTTTATTTATGAGCTCATCTTGGGAGGAATTTATCTTTGGATATTCTATGTGGCTGAAGATACATTCCTCCAAAGAGAATTTACATTTGCTTCTTCTATCAGGCACCTGAGAGCACATAACATTGCACTCTGAAGAATTTTTAGAACTCATATGTAGGGTGAATTGAAACCATAATTCCTCTGAGAGTCAGCTCTAAATAATGAATTCTCAGAGTAGAATTTTCTTCCATTTCAGAGAGCCAAGGCTACAACAGGCAAGTTTTCTTTATCAGACTCCTTTCTCTCTTACTTACTTTCTTTCTATCCTTCCTTCCTTCCTTTCTTCCTTCTTTCCTTCCTTCCTTCCCTTTTTTATGGTAAAAGGGGTTGGCAAACTATGACCTGTGGGCCAAATCCAGCCTACTCTCTGTTTTTATAAATAAAGTTTTATTGGAACACAGCCATGCCCATTTGTTTACTTAGTGTAGATGTCTACTTCTATTCTACAATGCAGAGTTAAGTAGTTGGGACAGAGACCTATAAAGCCTAAAATAATCACTACTTTATGGCTCATTAGAGAAAAAGTTTGCTGAATTCTAGTGTAGACCTTTGGTATCCCTGTTCTCTAGGAGGTTCTCTGATCCTCTTACCTTGAATGGCTTATAGTGATAAGATACAGGACAAAGCTATTCCTTTATTAAAAGACCTCAAAATACAGTGGTTTAAGCACAATAATTTATTTCTCTTTCACATTACGGTTCAAATAGTATAGTGGGCCCAGAGGCCTGGAATCCTCTAATAGCGTTCTGCCATTCTGAGAGGAATGTCAATGTCTACATGATGGAATATACAGTGTGGGCAAAGTAGTTATGAGTACGTGAAACACAGAGTTTATTATTGTATTACTAGAGGGGTCCCTCCACCTGGCCTGTGGGATGGGGCCAAAACTGGCTCTCCAACATCCCCTGAGGGATCCCAGATTTCGAGAGGGCACAGGCCAGGCCAAGGGACCCCACTGGTTCACGATTGATCAGGGCTGGGGAGGGACACAGGAGGGCTCCAGGGTGTGTCCAGCCCAGATTGCTCAGTCCCAATCTGCTGAACCCCAGCAGCAAGCTAACCTACCTGTCATAGCATCTGCCCCCGGTGGTCAGTGCATGTCACAGGGAGCAGTTGAGTGTTCTTAGGATATCATTAGCATATTACACTTGGATTGTTTGAATAGCTGACCAGACGACCAGACACTTAGCATATTAGGCTTTTATTGTACTATTTTCCATAAGAACAACTATAAACCTACTTTTGTCCCACCCTGTATTTGCATACTAGCTCATGGGAAAAAGAAGAGTGAAGAGAAAACACCTCTTTTCCTGTTAAGTTATTACATACTAGATGCCCAATGCACAAAATTCATGCAAGAATATGTCTTCCTTCCCCCAACTGCTGGCACTGGCTTCCCTCTGGCACCTGGGACCCGGGCTTTCCTCACGAACTCAGCTTTGTCAGAAAATAAGATTTACATGAAATTCCAAATCTCTTGCTTCTGAAGGTCGTCCTGGTTTAATTAGCATATTATGATTTTACTATTATAGATGTTACTTTTGCTACATCACATTGGTCAAAATCTAGTCTTATAGCTGCAGTGGAGGCTGAGAAAGGTCTTTTGTTAGGTGGTCAGGCACTCAACTAGGTAAAGAAGGGGAGAATGTCTTATGGGGGTACTGCTGGAAGAATGCCACAGGCTCTTGGGCATTGGCTGGCTTCCCAAAAAGCTGCCGACACCTACATCATTGGCAGCTACTCATCTCAGTGCTTCCCTTTTCTCAAGCTTTCATTTCATTTTTGCCTTGTGGAATTTACCTTACTGTCTTGATAGCTCAGCTATGAGTTTAAAAAGCATTTGGAAAAAAACATTGCACCCATCATTTTTCAGGTGTTTTGTAGAGGCAGTGTATTTTAGGAGGTTTAATCCAAATATAGTTTTAAATAGAGGGACTTTACTTAATTGTTATGAGTACATAGCCTATTGAATCTATCTTATTCCTGATATGGATATAAACTGACCTAGATTGAATCTGATCCCAGCAGTAATTTTGCTCTTTTTTGTCCATGATCTAGCTCATATTATCTTTTATTTAAAATCACTATGCTCACCTAGCTTTTATTTTGACTTTAGCTTTCACTTTAACTCTATTTCTGGTGTTGCTCTGTAACTTTACAATCAGAGGTTGCAAACTAGAGGTCTGCAACTTAGTTCACAGAATGTTTGCTGATTTTTGAAAATCAGATTTACATGAAATTCCAAATCTCTTACTTCTGAAACGACAGTGGATAGGTCTGGTGGGGATACATCGGTTTCCCCCATCTACTCTGCCCCTTTCAGAGATGTCATTTACCCTCCAGTCTACCCCATTCCCCTCCACTGCCTAGCCTCTCTCCCACTCCCATAATATTACTTGTGTAATTACCTGTCACACCAATGTAATCACCTCCTGCATTTCACATTGGCTTTGTCAATTCCCTTTTCCGCTTTAGCTATCACAGGACTCCTCTGTGCTCACTGGTGTTGTGACTAGTCTAATAAGGAGGAGAAGATATTTTTTTCAGTTGGTAAAACCAACTCACATAGAGCCAGGCCTCTCCTGTTCACACAACTGGTACGATGGTTTATCTGCTTGCAATTAAGTTTAGGAAGGAAAACATGTAGTGAATTCTTCAATACTGCAGAAAGCCTCTGGCGATCAATCATCGTTCTAAATGCAAGGATCCCCAGATTGGAGCTCTGCAGTGCAGGGCCACTGACAGCAGGGGTCAGGGGAGATTATTTTCCTCCATTTGTGGACTAGTTATCAATTTCTTGCATTGTTATTCAAGTATGTTTCCAGACCTTTTATTTATTTATTTATTTATTTATTTATTTATTTATTTATTTATTTATTTATTTATTTTTTATTTTTTTTATGGCCCAAAGTTCTATAATGGGGCTTGTTTGTGTGTGTTTATTATTATTATTATTATTAGGTACAATCATATTAAGAATGATTCTTTCTAATCATTGTTTACATCTTCTATATTAGCTGAACAAAAGATTGGTCTAAAGAACAATGTTCTCTTATATATACCATTTTACGTGTCATTGGTTTACAATTAGTGATTCTCCACTTTTAAAATCCAATGCTCTCTGATAATAACAAACATATTTAGTAGGCATGTATTTTAAGCAAAGCAGGAGTGTTTGGTAAGTGTTTCTGCCTTGGTTCAGAATTAGTGCTTTAATTTGTGTTGTCCAAAATTGTAACCCCCAGCCATATGTAGCTAGTGAGCACTTGCAAAATGGCTCATGTGATTGAGAAACTGAACTATTTAATTTAATGTTTAATTTTTTTTAAATCAATATTTATTGTTCATATTGTTACAAAGGTTCCTCATTTCTTCCCCCCTCCACCAGGTTCCCACCCCACCCTCCGCCCCCTCCCCATCCCCCATTGTCCTCATCCATAGGTGCAATTTATGTTCAGTCTCTTCCTCCCTCCCTTTCCCCGATAGTAAATCCCTTTTCAGATAGTAAATCAGTTACTTAGCATTTTCTCATATCAATAATACCACCACATGCCCAATGATACATTTCACACAAAAGACATTTCCAAATAGGTCAACCAGCCTCATCCAGGCCCCACCCAAGGCACTCACAGATCAACACCCCAGCGCTATACTAACTCAACACATCCAGATCTAAGCCTTCATCACTTGATTCAGCAGACCCTCAAGTTCCCGCAAAAGTTTCCAGCCATGTCTGAGAGGCAGCCGTGGGGCAGGGGCAGGCGAGAAGCGAGCTGTTCCGGGCCTGGCTGCTCCAGGCCTGGCCTCTGTTGCTCTGGTTCGTTCCACAACCAGCTGCTCCGGGTCTGGTCACCGCCGCTCCCGACCTAGTTGCTCTGGACCTGGCTGCTGCTGCTCCGGGCCTGGCTGCTCCCAGCCTGGCAGCCGCTGCTCCGGGCCTGGCCGCACCAGACCCGGCTGCTCCGGGCCCGGCCGCTCCGGGCCCGGCCGCTCCGAGTCTGGCCGCTCCCAGCCTGGATGCTCCGGGCTTGGCTATTGCTGTTCTGGACCTGGCTGCTCCCAACCCGGCTGCTCTGGGCCTGGCTTCTTCAGGCCCGGCAAGTCCAGGTCTGGGTGTTCCTAGACTGGCCTCCCTGGGCTTGGCTGCCTCCACCTCAGGCCTGGCTGCCACTGCCCCAGGTCCGGCTGCTCCAGTGCTAGCTGTTGTTGCTCTGGTTCTGGCTGCTGCTGCTCTGGGGCCTGGCCGTTGCTGCTCCGGGCCCAGTTGCCATTGCTTTGTGCCTGGGCACTCTAGGCCTGGCCGCCGCTGTTCCAACATTCTGTCCTTTTTTTTTTTTTCGTTTCAAAAGTCGTCTTTTACTCCGGAAAATATGGTATTCTGCCTTTCTGACCCAGTCCCCGCATCTTGGGCCCCCCCACAGCAAACAATTATTCTTGCACACAGCTCTGCAAGCAAGCTACCCTCACTTTCCAACCTGATGGCAGACAGTCTAGCTTCTCCCCAGGAACTGGATTGCAGAGAGATTGGGAGATTGTCTCTCTTCAGATTGAAGAAAGCTACACCCTCCGCCAGTGGGGATCCACCGCCAGCCCGTATTGCACGTGCGTGCGCCCCTATACCGCAGTTTTTCAGCTCTTATGCCCTGAGTGCTCTTTTCTCTTTCAGTCTAGTTGTAGAGCTTCCACTCAGCCAGATTTCCTGTGGTTCTGGGTGATAGACGTTTTATCTTTTAGTTGTAGTTTTGAAATTGTTGTGCATGGCAGTAGTTTAGGTGTGTTTACCTACACCACCATCTTGGATCCTTGAGAAACTGAACTTTTATTATTAATTATTTTTGTTGTTAATTCTCACCCAAGGATGTTTTTTCATTGATTTTTAGAGAGAGGGGAAGGCAGAAAGAAACATCAACGTGAGAGAAACACATCGAGTGGTTGCCTCCTGCAGGAGCTCTGACAAGGGTCCAGGGAGGAGCCTGCAACCAAGGTACATGCCTTTGTCTGCAATCAAACCCGGACTCTTTGGTCTCAGGCTGAAGATCTATCCACTGAGCCAAACTGGGTAGGGCGAGAAACTAAACTTTTTAAATTTCATTTGAATCATTTTAAAAACTGACATTTGATTTAAATATTGGGCAACATTTAAGTGTGTTTGGAACAACATGGATATATTTGTTTACTTTTTCAATTGTAAATTTTATGAAATTCATATTCAGGTCAAGTAATTCTAAGGCAAATTTAGCATCCAAATTGAAAACCAATTAGGTACAAAATTCATTCAGGATTTTGAAGACTTAGTATAAAAAAAGAATGTAAAATATTTCATTAATATTTTTATATTGATTACATGTTGAAATAATAAGATTTTGGGTTAAATAAAACCTTGCCAAAATTAATTTTATGTCCTACTTGTTTTAATGTGGCTAGTTAAAATATAAAATACATATGTGACTTGCTTTATATTTGATGGACATTGTTACTAGATGGTACTAACCATGGTCCTGGGACCACATATGACTTATATACCTAAGAGAGAAGTAAATTGCAGATATTTAACTTACTTCTTTATTAAAATCTCTATATCAATTGTTCCAACAATTGCCCCTTGTATCCTTGTTTTCATTGTCTCTACTCTTATCCATAATCAGAATTCTTATACTTATGGGCTCAAAACGCAAATAGGATTATCTAAAGCCTATAGTTTTTGGTGTTCTTTATTCAAAACTCGTTAGCATAATATAAAAGGCCCCTTGTAGGGCCTAACAGTTTTTAAATTGATTCAAATGAAATTTAAAAGTTCAGACTCTCTACCGCCTCGTCTTCTGGTACTCGCACATGCTAAGACCATTCAACAACACTGTGTTCTTTCCTACCACTTTGCTTTTGCACATGCTATGTCTTATCTAGATGAAATGTTGGCCTTTCAGCACCACCTTTCCTCATCCTTCCCCATTTCCTCCAGCAAGTCTTCAGCTGCATCTTCCCACCTCTTCACTCTGGTTAGACTTTGGGCCTATGATACAGGCTTGCCATGTTAGATTTTTGTTACTTGGCGATACGTTGATATGTTCATCTTCCACATTAGATTGTGTATTTCCAGGATAGGAGCCATGTCTTGTTTTTGTTTGCTTGTTTTTTGTCCTCAATACTTAGTATCTAATTTGACTCCATAAATATCTCAGAATTAAGTAATTCGTTCAGTGAGAAAAGGTTAATTCAGAGATTCATTGTTAATTTTCTCTATAGTTGTTAGAACTAGGGTACTAGGATTAGAATCTTCACTCCACCACTTAGGTG